GTATATACTGAACAAAACTGTTTTGAAATTCTGTATCATTTTTGTTTTTTTAATTCTCTTTAAAATTAAAAAAAAGCCTCTCCTACATATAAAATTGACAATTCGAAATGCAGGCATAGCCAATGGACTATCCATACTATTTTTTTCTTTTGCTCATTTATTGTCTGTTAATAAATATTTCTTTCTATACTTCCCTTCAATAAGATGAAGATAGCATAAATCAGTGACAACATACTAACCTACAATATAAAATGAATGCCTGTTTACTACTGTATAAAATAAACTTATTCTAGTTTTCAAGACTTAGTGATATTCAGAACATTCTTCAGAGGCCAAGTCATATTTCACTTGTACCTTATTAGGATACCTCATAATTGTGTATATGTATGTTTTTGAAATTTGTTTTTAAAATTCCTACCTATTGCATTTTTGTGATGGTTATTATATATCATTATGGATAGCCAAAGGCTTTTAATCTAAAATTTTCCAGAAAATACACGTTAGGTGTTTATTTTATAAACTGACCTTTAATGTCAGTATCAATGTAAAATGTCCCATGTCACTAACTGATGTAACTGCAGAATGGCTGTCACTGCTTATCTTCACTCTCACTTTGCTTTTTTCCTTTTATTCTCTATGCTATTCCTATTCTTTGCTTAACTATCAGGCTTGTTGCTTTCCCAATCAATTAATGGTAGGTACACTGCTAACCTTCAGGTCATTTGATCTGATCCAATCACATATCTTTTGACATGCGTACCTTAATCTTAGTATGTGTGCATTTTCTAATGTTCACCTGCAAAATCCCGATTTTTTTTTCTTTTTTTGTGGTAGTAAGGACTGAACCCAGTGCCTTCACAGCTATCTCCCAACGCTTTTATTTTTTGTTTGAGACAGTCCACACTAAGTTGCCCAGGCTGGACTCAAACTGACAATCCTCCTTCCTTAAACTCCTAGAGCACTTGGATTACAGTGCAGCACCACTGCGCCCAGCTCAGATTTTATTTGTTGTCAACTTCTTAAGATTATTTTTAGCCAAGACTCTATTCAAACACTATTTTTGTATATTTTCCTGGAAAATATTTTAAAAATTAAATCATTATTTTATATTTTGTAAGCTAAAAGTTCAATTTCTGAAAAATCAGGTTATCATACACAAGCTTCATTTCATAACGAACCACGGCTTTACTGTCCCTTGGAGCCAGCAGACCACAGACGGACTTTGCTGAAACCATAAAGTAAACCTCTCCTACTTTAACATTCTATTTTTTTTTGTACAGGGAATCCAACTCAGGACCTTGTGCTTGCCGGGCTGGTGCTGCACCACTGAGCTACAGCCCATGAGAAGACTGTTCTGGTCAAAAGGGAGGTGTGTTTCCCTGACCCCTTGGCAATTTGGCTCCAAAGTTACTTGAAAGAATTTAGGACTTGGTGCAAAATCATCTGAATAAGTATTGGCAGGACGATTTTTACCTTCTAATGTTGATATGCTAGAGCTCTAACTAATTAATTTGAAGACACAATTTTTCAAATAGAAATGTCGAAGCAACTTACCTTCCTACCCCAAATTAAAACAAAACAAAACAAAGTTTAAAAAGTCAAAAAAAAAGCGGGGCGAGAAGGGTTGTGGCTAACTCTATATAACTCTGGAGTAGAAGAAATTTCAAAAAGAAAAATAAGATATGTAGCAAGGAAACTTCCTCCTGAATGCAACGGGCATTCACCAAGTTAACAAGCTATGGCCAGTCTCATCACATCTGTATGTCACCATCATTTTTCTCATGGCTAGAAACCACCACTTTTACTTGATTTTTGCCTTTTCTTAACTCCCATAGCAGGTGATTTAAAGTGTAAAACTATTGTTTCCTCTCATCCTTCTGCCATTTTCTATCCACAAACCCAAAGCCAAGGTGACTGTAACAAAATAATTACATGGTAATAACCCTGATACACAATTAATGACAAAGAACTCAGAAACAAATAGTTAAATTAATGGTATATCCAAGACAGCAAGTTCTCATTTGAGATTATAATAAAATGGCTCCTGTTCCAATTAGTGATGTTTGCTAAAATTAAAGCAGTTCTAGAAAAAGGAAATATACACTTAAAACTGTAACCTGGGAGATCCTTTATGTTGGACCCCAAATAATAGAAATCAGCCCAATTATCTAAAGAGTCTGATTTTGGAGTCTAAAATAATAAACACATTGCAATTCAGATAAATTAGAAATTAGAAATAATTTTTAAGCCTGTATAAAAATTTTAACTTCCCAAATTTAAAAGGTGAAAAATTGTATGCACTTAATTCATTTTTAAAAGTAGATTTATTTTAAAAGACTAGATCAAGCACTCCTTTTACTTTGGTCTTTCCCCCTCATATATATTAATAAAAGAGTAACAACAAACATTTACGTTCTCACTTTGTGCTAAAGTTTTGTTTACTGCCTTAAATGTTTTATCTCAATTGTCACAACCCCAAGGTCAATGCTATCTACAGAGAAACAGACTGAGGGTTGGAGAAGCTACATTTGCTTGAGCCCACCCTGCTGGCAAGTGCCACACACCCGACTTGAATCCAAGCTGACTGCAGGATCCAAGCATTTGTACCACTATATTCTATACTAAGCATCAAAGTACTTTCCTGGGTAGGCCCATGCAGCGTGAGGCTACAGGAGCAGTAGGAACTACCGTTTAATAAAGTTTTGGAACTCAAATATAAGGTCCTTTATAGAAAACCTAATTGAAAACATATTTCTTGTACTCTTGAAACTGTGTAAGAAATACATTAGGAAAATAACTGTTACCCTTTACTGACTGAATAATGGACAGACAAGAGTAACAAAATAAAAAATAACAGCCCGTTTAACCTGGGGTGCTTGAAAATAACCGTAACTACAGATATAAGGAACAAGAATGGATTTTAGGAGAAAAATGAATTCTGCTTCATACTAGTTGAATTAAAAATGAGGTCTATAGCAATACCACTCTGAACACACCCGATCTTGTTTGATCTCGGAAAAATGAGGGTAAACTAAGTACTATGTGCCAAAAGCTGTGTTGAGCACCTTACATATATAATAAGCTTATAATGTCTATAAGCTTATTATTAAATCCGTAAGACAAAAATGATATAAGGCGCTATATTTAGGACCTTGCTCTAAGTCAAACTGTCAACAAATGGCACAACCAAGATTCAGATCCAGATCTGACTGAATCCAAAATGTGTACAGTTATCCTGTCTTCAATATTATTCGCAAAGGCAGAAAATAAAAACGGAAAAATCTAAAAAGCAGGTATGAATTCATGTGAATTCATATGTGAAAAAGCAAAACTGAAAAAAAAGATTTCTTCAATCACATATGGCCCAATTTAATCAGTAATTCAGGCACTCTATCATTAAAGAATATGTCCATAGAACCATTTACCTGGCCAGAGTTGAAGTAAGTAATGAAGAACTTCAATATGTTTCTTAAAATCCAAAGCACTTGCCAGTTCTTCTGAATCAGTAAAGACTCTGTTGTTATAGGTAGAAGTCTCTTGCCTCTGACTTAGTAACACTGGTCCAAAGCACACAGCCAAATTCTGACAGGTCATTTTATTCACTTCATGATAAGAAGCCACCAACTTCAAATGATCCAACAACATCTTTAGGGTCGCCTAAATTAAATTAAATTGCACTTAACATACTCATATACAGACAAACACAAGGGCACAATTCCTGGCAGAAAATAAAGACAGGCATCCTGTCACTTTTAAGATTGTTTCAGTGGTTTGCTTGTAAGTTGGATATTTGGAACCTTGGACGTATTTTCTTATAAAAGGATTACACAGGGTCTAAGTTACATTTTAACAACATAATTTTCCCCATTAAATGGTTGCAAAATACATGCTTTATAAAGTGCTTATGAATGAATTGCAAATTTCAATCACAGTCCCTAGAAAAATGCATTATCAACTCCTCTCTTCCCCCTCTACAGTAACAGCAACAAACTATCTATGATGGACAGAATTCATTTTTCAGTTCAAATAAATGCTACACTTGTTAAGTAGAGGACTATCATACCTAGGAAGCTTTACAATTTTAGAACATGGTCAAGTCCTATAATAATCTAAATTATGAAAGACAGTTTTTAAAGATCAATGTGTTCTTAATATATATTTAAGCAAAGTAAGGAGGAGGTAAAAAACAGTACTGTTAGAAGTGAAAGAAAAAAGATATGAAAGAAAGAAAAGTTTACTTAAAAAGAAGTATATATACATACACACACAAAGATATATATTTCTCAATCCTTCAGGAAACTAGTAAGGAGAGCTGGCTCAAGTGAAATGGTTATTTAATTTTAAGCACTTATAAAAAGAAATGATTTTTTTTAAATAGTAGCATTTGATCAGTCATTTAAGAAATGAATTACAATATTTTCTTCAAAAATTATATTGAAGAAATAACTACCAATTAAAAACTAAAATCTTGGAAATAAGGAAGAAATAAAAATGATAGAATGGCTGAAACTAAAAGAAACAACTGCATTTGATGATTAAAGGTCAGTAATAACCTTGCCAGGAAAAAGTCCAAAAAGAGGAGGTAGGAACTCCGAGTACAACGTGCTGGTTGAATGGTAAATGAGTTACAATTACCTATTATAATAGAATCTCAGAACTGAAATTATACATTTAAATGATGGGAAAATTTTAAGGGTCTTAATATCATACAACCTTTCAAAAGGGACGTTAACAATTACATTTTTTGGCTCATTTAGTAGACAAAAGGATATTTTACTTTAACTTAAATTTCTTTGTCCATTATTGAGATTGAATCTAATATATTTAACAAGGTGAGTGGTATATGTGTGTGATATACGTTATTCACAGTTATCAGATAATAGCCTTGAGAAGTCAAGGTATATGGAGCCCCATTTGTGTTAGGACATATACTGTAAATGAAACAGAGGACCAAATATTATGATTTACATGTTTTACTTATTTTAATTTCAAAATATCAATTGATATCCCATTGTCCCTTTATTCCTTTCCTTTACAACCAAACATTAAAGAATGTTTAAAGGGAACAATGATAAATTATGTCAGTTCCTCTCAATAATATATTACACAGCCATTCCAGAAAGAGGTGAGGAGGGAAGAAAAAGTAGTGGTGGTGGTAGGGGTTCACTTAAGTCTTAAGGCTAAACTATATACATCAAAAGTTATCATATTTAAAAATACTAAAAGGAAATACATCAAAATGTTAATTATATTTCTCTTTGGATATGGTAATTATAATTTTACACTCTCCCACATCTCAATTTTTCCATAACAAACATTTTAATGCTAAGATAATACACTTTAAAAACTTGTAAGAGAATGTCCAGGAGGATGGTGGAATGGTAAACAGCAGAGAAATAGCCTCTCTGATATTTCATACCCAGACGCTGGAATACAGCAATGTGAGAAAGAGGAGGGAAATGGGTCCCTGTGACCCACAAAAGATCTGAAGTAAAGAACTGAAGTCCACCGGGAGAGTAAAGAGAGACTTCAACGAAGAAGGAACTGGCAAGTGGGGTTTTCTCCCTGAGCCCTGACTCACTATATGGCAAAGGTAGCCTAACTTGCACATATACAGTGATTACTGGAGACCCCAGAGGTCTCCATGGACAAATGCACCAGTGGAATGGAGCAGTAGATGCACCAGACTACAATGGCTGGTGAGTTATTTGGATCCAGACAGCCCCCAGGAGAGGCTAGTTGGCCAGTAGCCATCTTGGAGAGAGCAAACTGAGCTCAGAACTCAGAGCAATTTCTGGCTCTATCTAGAGGTTCCCAGCGTCAGGGCGAGGCAGAACTGAGGTCAAGTTAGCAGGAGGTCAAGAAGCTAAGTTCAGACCAGCAGGAGGCACACAGAATGTTAAGGGATGAATAAGTGGGATTCCAACCTCACAGCCAGAAATCACCTGAAGTTCACCGAAACTAAAGTGATTATCCACTACCCCACCATAAATGGCTGGTGAGTTATCTGACCTAACCCTGGCTTGCTGGGATTCATAAACACAGATCTGGGCTCTGTCCGTCCAATTTGTCTACAGTGACAACAAAGTCACACCTTCACATGGACATTTTTTTTCTTTTATTTTCTTTGTTTTGTTTCTTTCTTTATTTTCTTGTTTTGGAGGCAGGGTCTCATTATTTAGTTCAGGCTGGCCTTAAACTCACTATGCAATCCTCCTGCCCCAGCCTCTCAAATGCTAAGGCATGTACCCAGCTCTTTTTCTTAATTATTTGCTCTTGTTTTCATATGAGTGTGAACACTGCTTCTAGTTTTGTTGTTGTTGTTGTTCTGTTCTGTTCCTGTTTATACTTCTTCCTTCTCACTATCTATCCCTCCTGTATGCTTCATCAGTTTCCCAAAGATTGCATAATCTTTCTTTGTCCTCCAGCCTTGCTTCAAATCTCATCCTCTCCTTCTATTTCTCTACTTCTGCCCTCAGTCCCTCATATTTTCTCCCTTATGGTAAAACTGCCACATTGAGGGAATGTCTACTGTATACAATTTTCTGGTTTGTTTTAGATTTTGTTATAGAACCACAAATATAGTTCATATGGTTCAAGGCATCAAATCAATAGTTACCACAGTTTATCATTTTCTAGGCTGTGTTTGATGCTATTGTTATGGCTAACTGTACTACTTTAGCCAAGGCGACATGATTATTCTAATCAGTTTTTGTTCCTGATATGCCAAGACTGAGATTGCCTAAAGGTCATAAACAACATTATTGGCCAATACCAAAGAACCAGGAGCTAGGCCAAATAGGGAGCAACTTCTCATCCCCAATAAATTGAAGGGGAAGGATATTACATCAGACTCAAAACCCAAACCCCAGATATATCTGGAAGACATTTCTGAGGAGTAGCCATTTTCTAACAGTTCTAAATACTACCAATAAAGCCACTCAACCCGGTAATTGAACTAAAAAAGAAAAAAATGAGAAGACACTTAAGCTCTTCACCAAAGACAAATCAAGGGGGCAATGAGGTAAAACACTTCAAAAGCCACCCACCTGGACTCTCTGAAGTGGTAAGAGCAGAAGTAACAAAGCAGATGAATGAGGCTCTAGAAAAAAATCAAATCAGAAATAATTTCTCCAATAAATAGAAAGATGGTGATCATGACAGATTTGGTTAGTGAATCTAGAGCAGATACAGATTTTAAAAAACAGAGGAGCTTAGGAAAATCACAAAAAACATGAATGGAAAAAAAAGGAATCCATGAAATAGATTCAAATAGATATCCAGGAGGTTAAAAATTCCACTGAAAGTATACAAACCAGAATGAGTTAATGTGAGAACAGAATCTCAGATATAAAAGACAGAATTGGATTAGCAATCATGAAAAGAAAGATTTCTTAAAAATAACAAAGGACCAAAAAAAAAAATCAATCCAAAGGTTGACAGATGATCCAAAGAGGAATAACAAGACTGAACGAAGTCAATGAAAAAGCAGATTGTACAAACATTAAAAAAAAAAACAAACCTGTAAACAAAAGGAATGGCAGAAAATTTCCCAAGCATGGAGAAAGAATCTGACATACAGTAGCTAAGGCAGATAGAACTCCCATTAGCCATGATCAAAAAATCTATACCAAGACATATAATAGTCAAAATTCCAGAACACAAGAACCGAACATTAAAAGCTATTAGAGAAAAGAAGCAAATCATCTATAAATGAAAGCCCCTCATAATCACAGCAGACTTCTCAACACAAACCCTCAAGTCATGGAGAGTTGGAGTGAAATATTTCAAGTCCTAACAGAAAACAACATCCAACCCAGACTGGTATACCCCACAAAACTATCTCTCAAAATTGATGGAGAAATAAGGTACTTCCACAAGAAAGAACACCAGAAGAAATTCATGAGCACAAACCGGCACTCCAAAATGTTCTGAAGGACATTCTAGAAATAGATAACAAGGCCTAGTATTCCATGAACCCCAACAGAATGAATTCACCAAGCAAGGCAAACAAGTAAACAGAGCAAAATAAAAAAAAGAACCAACGACAGGAAAATAATATGACAAGGATAAATAAATATATATCACTTATAACCATCAATGTAAATAGTCTCAATTCACAAATTAACAGAGATAGACTGTAAGAATGGATCAACAACCAAGACCCAACAATATGCTGCATACAACAAATACATTTAATTCAAAAAGAAATTCCTAAGTTGAAATTCAAGAATGGAAAACAATACTCCATATATCAGGAACTCCAAAAAAGAGCAGGGGTAGCTATTCTATTTGCTAATAATTTCTCAGATAAATAGAAAGATGGTGATCATGACAGATTTGGTTAGTGAATCTAGAGCAGATACAAATTTTAAAAAACAGAGGAGCTTAGGAAAATCACAAAAAACATGAATGGAAAAAAATGGGAAAAAAAGGAACCCATGAAAAAAAAAGGAATCCATGAAATAGATCCACGAAAGCAGACAAAGTGGATTTCAAGCCAAAACTGATTATGATAGACAAAGAAGGTCACTACATCCTGGAAAAGGGAATAATCCAAGAAGAGATAACCATCACATATTACCAAATGCCAGCATATCCAACTATATAAAACAAATATAGATATATAAAACAAATATATAAAATATAATCAAATA